CGCTCTAGAGAACTGGCACGTGGCATGTTGAGCAAATTTACAGAACCGTGTAGTTTCAGAAAAGCGTAGATGAACATCTATCTATTAGCCGATGGTCGAGACTTCGTTACCGTTTAAACTGCGGTTTGCTCTCATAGCGTGGGCTTTGTTACAGAACTGAAACTATTGGTCTCCTTTCGAGAGAAATTGCAATCGGTACCACGATTAACGAGCGCGACCTTAGAAAATATTAGATAGATATCCGTTCGGTTGAAGTTGAAAGTTTGCTATCGTTCAGATTTCTTGATTAGTTGCTATTTCCTTCATAGTTAGGCAATCGTCAGCATGTCGCTGATAGAGCCGGGTACGATCTCGCGTCGGTTTCGTTAGCACTATAGACTTAGTTAAAGTACTAGACAATGAATCGCGAAGATTAAGAAAAATAAAATACACTGCTATAAGAAGATGTAACAGGGTTAATTAAAAAAAAAAAGTGCCTGACCCCTGACTCCTAGAGTAATGGGAAAATGAGGCATGACAACGTTTTCTTTTTCTATTTTTTGTCTTAGCAGCGTAGCCAATTTTCGTCTATCACGAAATGGCGTAGGTGAAGATCGCGGATTGTAAATCGTAGCCATGTCTTGATTCGCGATCAAGTGTCGCGCTGTCAACGATTTACCCTATGAATCGTACTAAATATTGTTAGAAAATGTTCGAGACGGTTTATCACGTTTGGCTCTAGCATTCTACAGAACGATATACATCATCTATGCGAAAGGTGCATTTCTTATTTTTGCGTTTTGTCATAGGTCATCATACACAGCAACGCTTTATGAAGCGATGTGGTACGCGGGGGGCCGTAATCGTCGTATAGAGCCAGTAACTGGAATGAATGACAACTATCTTGTACAAAGCCACACAGCAGTCTGTAATAAGCTCAATTCAATCTTGCTTCCATTGTGCTTCAAAGTAAATTGAATACTATCAAGTTTTACGTTCGGAACCTCCGTCAGACGCCGCACTTTGGACGGCTGGCTTCCCAGCACGACTATTGCGCCTACAAGTATAGCCCTTCACGTGCTCTCAAGATTCGTAGGCAAACATGTTACTACAAAACAATACGACCATTTCCTTTATCAGTGATAATTTTGATGAAAATTATCATCAGTCAAAAAAATCATTAATGACATTCACTGCTGCTAAGTCTAGACAGACAACGATGAATGGATTTGTGTCATTGTACAATTTAGGGCCAGCACTAAGTGATTGAAATGTTCGACGGCGGGGTCAAGCCAAAAATGGGTTCTCGACTCAAGCCGTAGACATCAACTTCATTCGATGATACCTTCCAATGACAGCAGTGTCAGCGAGAGCATTATACGATATTTAGTAAAATCAGTGCTAAAGGGCGGAGAACATATCGACAGGTTGAGACTGCACAGGAATCTAAATCGTTCCCATCATCATCGATCGGGGGTGCAAGACCCCACCCAGTCTTTACCTGGCATGTACCACGGCAAACTCCGCTTTCCTTAATAATGCCTCAACATCAATCGAATGATCTCTGAATCGAAACTTCTCGGACAGTGTTCTATTGTTTGATAAAGGCAGAAGCTTATCTCCGATAATGTCAAGTTTGGTCTGCAAGGTTGTTACTCAAATTGTGCTTTTGACCGTTATTATCGAACGTATACTTACTGCTTCACTCGGCGTTATTACCTAGAGAGACTCACTTTTAAAGTGTCTTAAGTGATAATAAAGAAAGTTTCTTGTAGTGAAATCTTCGAAACCCGATAACGGTTGCTATGAAAATTTATTAGGAACTTGTCACATGTTTTCTATAGTTGAATTAAAATACTAGCATACTAAGGGGTTCCTAGTTCCTAATTTTCTTGCTACTTCCGTCAAGCTACTGCAGTAGTGAGTTCGGCAGTCGCAATTGAGCGTATGCTCAAGGATATGCATACCTTTTTCTGCAAAGACTTGTTTTGCAGACAACAAATCCTAATAGGAACAACCTCATTCAAACCAACCTATAGACTGATTTACTTATTGGTCAAAAACGTTTGGAAGGATGGAAAGGAGCCTTAACACGAGATCGCAGTCAATCTTTGGGCGTCTACAGGTGCTGTGGTGGACCTATATTTTGCGGTTTTGTATAAAGTGAGAAAAACGTATGACTCTATATAATGCATAGTTATTAACTTTTGGAAAACGAAATACCCTACGAAGGGGACGAGGTTTCTGCTCCTGCGAGAGGCGAAATGTAATCGTTAATGATAGCGATATTTCTGCGTCATTTTTATCATTTGTCCTCGGGCAAAATACCCAGCGTCTCAAAGGTCGCTAGTGTTTCAATGATTTGTTTATCCATCTGCTTTTGGTGCATCGTAAGATCTCTCGTGTAGTTTTTTCTCATGTAGTTTTTGGCAATGAGAACAGGAACGGAACGATCGTTACTGCAAACCGGAAAAAAGGAGACGACGCCATCAATCAACTAAATGCCCGCCAAAAGAGAACTGAGCCCTAAGCCAGTAATATTTGTCGATGCATTTATCGATGTTAGCGCACCAAAGAACTGATGGAGGAACCGTTTCTTTATCTGAGATGCCATGCCTTTACGTGTAAAATTTGACCTTATCACGAAGCATGTCATGATTCAGGGTATCTCGATTGATCAGTGCGAGCTTTAATTCTGATCACCGCTAGACCTTTTGCTATTTTGCCAATTTATAAACTCAGTTTAACTAGGAAGACGTAGCCATGCTCGATACGATATTTAACACTTCTACGTAGATCAAAGAAAGTACATACGCTATGCATATTTTCTAACGAGATCAGCTTCTACGTCTTTGAAATAGACCTACTATTATTATTGATTTGCTTATTGGTAGCCTCGTAATCGTCCAGACATTATCTTCGTATTTTTTACTTTACATAGACAGATCGATGTTTTTTTATCATCGTGACATATGAACACCATTTATCAATTTTCGAATGATGTACGCATCGCTAAGAAGGTCAACGGAGCTTTTCAACTTCTTTAGTTACACTCTCCTGAACGCTTTACTCATCGTGCACCAAAATATTTTTCCACCTTTATATATATATATATGTACTATATATCTATTATGTCACTATGATATGATGATATAGTAGTAAAAATGTGTTTTTTTTTTTTGATTTTAAATTAGCTTTGCTGTCTCGTATACGTGTTACGTAGTCGACCGTGCCTGCCATCACATCATTGTAAAAAGAGCGTCTTTTGAACAATACGCATTTCATACCGTTTCGCTTCTTAACTTCGGCTCGGAATTTGTGTCGGTTAGAAGCCCTTCTTGTTTGTATTGTTAGCGCAGAAGCATGAAGCACGCAACATCCTAGGACCTTGAAAAAAATTAGACGCGTATGAAAAGCTAGCAATGATGACACAGTGAGTCAAAGCTTACGGCCTCCATTATTCCACGGTATAGATCCAATGGGAAATTTCTCTCGTTCCGTCTCTCTGAGCGAATTGAACACACTGATATACGTAGTACTACTGTGAATCGTGACCGTGCGGCACGAGTGCATAGAACTACAGGTGAAAGTAGGTGCACGATAGATAGGCCGGTCAATCGTACCGGTTTCCTGAGCTTTCACTGTAGCTGAAAAAACTTAGGTACGAATTTAAGTTAGTAAATCGTTGCTATTTATTTAAATTGCAGTCCGTCAAGTAAATTTCTCTCTGCTTCTAACAACATAATAAAACTTCTTTTTCCTATACAGTTCATTGCGGATTTACTAAAATCAGTATACCGACCGATAGGAATTGTCCATGAGCTACGACGGCAAAACATTAAACAAGCAGCTAGATAGTGAAGCGCCTTTCTACCGATACCCGTTATGCACCGTGTAGTAAAGAGGCCTTCTTTTTCTCTATACTTTGCCACATTACAATTGAATTGAATCATCATAAAGCTATTAATGGTTGCATTCACGTTTCTAGATATTTTCCTTTTGCAAAATCAATTCGTTTCCACCATCGCCAACCCGCGATCCTAGTTCCTATAGGCTGCTGCTCTTTTGCCTAGAGCAAGAGAGCTTACTGGGTTTTTCGAGGCTTTCAGCGTCATGCGATAAATCAGTCGATGCGGCGAAGTACGTAAGTGTCGGTTTCAAAGCTTGCGCGAATTTGTGATTTCGCGGGTTTTACTAAATCAAATGTTATGTGAGGGGTGGCATAGAAGTAATTAGTCGGGAGCTGGACTAGAGCGGTTCGCATTAACTAGAACACATTGTGCCTAGTTTAATTAATATGTACACTGTCCACGTTCGAACACTACTACCAGGGCGAAGATGTATTTGTTTCAATTTATGGCCATGAGACATGTTAGTATAGGATGATAGCGCACATTTTTTTCGCTAAGAGATAGCGTTTTACAGCTGACAGCATTCGATTAGTAATGTGTGCTTCTTTTTTCGTAGGTGCGCCAAGCAAAAGAACTGTTTCGGGGGGAGGTAGACCCACGGCGCTAGGTAAAGTCCATAATGCGCACCCATTCAGCTTTTCAAATATGCCATTTCCTGGTAGAAGTAAATTGCAAAGGTGCTTAAGCCAAACAAGACACGTCTTATGCGATTCCTTTCAAATCCTGGTTGGCGCAGGCTTCGGTTTATGCACCTGACATATTCGGTTTATTAATGAAGTACACCGGCTTTGTGCATACATAGCCCCAGAAGAGTGGGTACTAATAAAGCTGACCACACAGTTTGATTTGTTCCATTGACAACACAAATGATTTTTTTTCGCCTGAACAGATTCAAAGATCCCAGAATTGCTACATTTAATAGACACGCGCATGCTGAATAAAATTCGAAATTATTAGTCTGGCCTAATAGAACTATAGAATTAGATAAATCATAAATTAGGAATCAGTGTTTCTGCTAGTTAATGAGCATTCAATGTTAATTTATGACTTTTCAATTTAGAAGTAGAGAAGACGCCAATGACACTATCTATTCAACGGGGTATGGCTTACCAGATAGTCTTTGACTGGAGTAATACTCAGGCTTTCTCCATCTCGTTGCGCGGTTCTAGCCTCTACGACGGCTATCCGTTGCCGCTCACCTGCCGCTCTGGCCTGCGCCTGCTTCTCTACCTCCACAGCAGGCCGAGGGGTTAGCGTCGGTTTCGGTTTCAGACCTCGAAAGAAAGGACGCACAGTTACTAAATGACACCCTTCGCTGTAACTATTGACACTGGAAGAACCCCTCTTTCAAGGCCAATTAGTAATGGCTTACAACCACACAAAAGCGATGGTAGCACTGATGTTGACAAGGAAAATTGGTTCGTTGACTATAATCAATGCAGCCTTTCCGCACACCGGTTGATAGTCGTGCAGTCTCAAGTTCCAAACAGAAAACTTATACATTCATTTTATTATGACTTCGTTGACATATCAGGATGACGAACACAATTTTACTGAATCCCAAGAAACAGCACGCATACAAAAAAAATTTTGAATGCAATATCTCATCCGTTAACCTCACTGAAGATTTAGAATTCTATCACAAAATCGGAGAACGAGTCTATCATAAATAAATGAGTGCTCTGGTCCGTATTGCACAGACAACGCTCCTAGTAAGTAATAGATTACAAGCAAAAATACTGTTTCAAGGCTAAATATCAGGCAAAACGCAGCGAGCGAAGCATGGCAAACAACAGGAAGGAAACGACGAATTATCTCTAAGCTACGATCGGTTCACGTCTACGTGGGGGCTAACTGCTACATCGATAATGAGGTCGATTACGGGAGTGGGGCTAACTAGCATTTCAAGTTAGGTACCTGCCATTACAAGAGTAAAGTATACATTATAGTTAGCCAATATTGGCTTTACCCGACCCAGAAGGCAGGTCAGCGTGCAGATGGCCTAGTTTGCAAATCGAAGTACGTAACTCCTTTGGATCGCTCGGTCCAGCGAGTCACGTTCGACCAGTCAAACGATATCGAACCGGGGTATCGGTTTCTAGCATTGACAACAGTGACCCTAGATAGGGCGCAGCTAAAGGAACAGGGTAAGCTTTGTCTGATGTCAGGATGGGGCCAACAGCAATTTCGGAACACCATGCCGCTTACGAAAGACCCTGTTCCACTGGACAGATAATAGGACTCTACCGTGTGCGATCCATGTTTGTTTCTAATGTTCTGCGTTATTTTACAAAGGTAATAATATTGTATGATGCAGGATCCAATGATGACCACCTAACTGACAAATATTTCCTAGAGAAACGTGTACGTAGGTAGCTCTACTCAGTATGCCGATATAAATAAGAACTATTGACCTTATTCACTTTAGCTCTATCGGCTCAAGTTTTTATTTTGCCTTTTCATTCGATGCAAAGTGATCTGTCTAACTATCTCTGATCCATGGAAGCACTTTACTGATCGTCGACCAGCGTTCGATAGGGAGATTGTTGCCTGGGAACCACACTTAAGTTTGCGGCCACTAAGGATTGGTCACAAGGTGTACATACCAGAATTGAACACACGCCCACGAAATCAGAATATGGTTGCAATATGTTGCTACAACAGCATTATGAATCTTTCTGAACCTATTGCAGTTCAGTGGTGGTGACAGGTGGCTATTTCGAATAGGCTTTTAAATGCTACACGAACTACGAGATACACAACAATATAATTTGAACGAATGTCATACATTATAAAAACAAAACATACATCATAAAGCTTAGGCATGAAATCGAAAGGTGCTTAGGCGGACCAATGCTTCTTGCCCCCTGCATACAATATGACGTAACCAGACGTCGAGTTTACGTACCGAGGGCAACCATACGCGCATGTGCAGCGGCCCGAGCCTGTGCTTTTACGATTTCGTGTCGCTTCAATGCCTCGTCATCGCTTTCCTCCTCCGAAGAGTCGCAATCAACTGTTCCTTCCTGGCTGTGACCGTGTCCCATATGTTTTAGATTTGCTGGGGGCGCAACTGTAGTAGTTACAGATCGCACGAAAGCTCCAGACGCCATCAAAATACATGCGAACAGTAGAGGACGCATCTAAAATCCAATACGTGAATCGAGCAGTTTATTAGTCATATCATCAAAATAACGTTTACGATTTTTTAGCAGCCGCTGCAGTTTCAGCTAGAATTTGCTTCTCTAGAGAACGCAAGATGTCTGAATTATTGTATCGTAAAAAGTGCACTCAAAGTACGTCTTACTTTGTTGATGCTAGCTTAAAATAACATAAATCAAGGAAACAGGGTAAAAAAACTATCTATCTCATGTTATACTTGCTTATCTTGTGATTTATCTCTCTATAGCAAACAGTGTATACAGGTTCCAGTCTCTTGGCATGTGTCCCGGTACTTCATATAATCACCAGCTGCTAGTCACACTATTATTTAAATAACTCCATATTTTTTAATGTTTCCATCGTATCTAGGGTTTCGCTACTGAAATTGTACAGGACAGTGTGGTGAGTCTACCCCCTTTGTCGATCAACACCCTCTAATCCTGTGCCGAAACTAGACATTCTGGTGTCTCTTCGTGATCAGCACACGCCTGCTAGGAAGAGAAACGTATCTGCTGGGTGTAACCCAGCGCTACTTGGGTTCATGCCGATTGTTCTGGCGGTCAGCTGTAGCACGCCGAATCCTCCTACTTTACGTATTCGTTGCGAGTAAAATGCATTTGATTGGAAAGTCCTATGTATGTTTTCTTCCATTAGAGAAGAAAAACAATGCTTCATTTAAATTCTACTAATAAATTTATTTGACGTCTATCTAATTTTTGATGGCCTTTTATCCTTTTCTCACGTTACCTATCAAGAGCTGTCACATTAAGAGTTCGGGGGTGGTACTGGAAAGTTTGTTTAGCCTAATTATGAAACATCTTTATCGCCAACAATCGTGTTATAAGTTTCACTCGTTAACGAACAGAGAAGGCAATAATTTGTAGAGGCGATATTTAAAGAATACGGTGGGTGCAAAGCGAATCCCTTTCAAACCCTTGCAGGGGAACTTCAATTATCTTTGCTACGTGTGCCGGTAGTCATTTTTTCTTTATGAGAACAGCAACTCTAAGCTGTCTACTTCGTTTACTTGATAATAATATCGTCGTAATAATAAGTCGTATCAAGTTTTTCATCGTCCATTCGTTTTTCTCAAATGTGTTCTAATGTATAAGACCCTTCGAATTTCGCCAGGCTTTCCCGGAAAGATGGCTGGCTCAGCCCTAGGTTTAGGTGTATTTACCCATATCTCCGCTTCATATCGGCGTAGAGACAGCAGTTTTTGTTACCAGCAACAGTTCCTAACAGGTATCTGCTATTTCGGTTACCTGTGGCTCGGTATCGGAAGTCGTTGTCAATTTACGTAACACCAAAGCTCCTAATTCACTTCTAAACCCTATAGATTCAAAAAATCGGCGATAGTCGACCACACACATCCCATATTCTAGCCATTTAATGAGTTATTCGCTATGCAAGGTCTTTATCGATTTCTAATAAGCGTTTGAAGTAACTCTTTAGGCCAGTGATGCTATCTTTAGACATAGCAAAGCTGCTTCCAGTTGTTCTGTTAGTTATGTAATCTCTGCTGTACCCGATGAAACTATTCTGGGCTGTTATATTCCGACAGAGGGCAACGTGAGTCAGAAACATGTGTAAGAATTAGTCTGAACTAGAGATAAAATTCCCTTCAGCAGACTGTAAAAGGTAAGGCGAACGATAAGAATCAAGGAAAACCGGCAATACCCTTTGCCTAATGATACAAATGCATAGATATTTTTTTACAGTACATCGTTCAGCACTAGCCCAGTTCATCACTAAGAGAAGACAGCGCCATCGCGTCTGCTTTGATTCGAGTAAAGTTCTTTAGTTCTTGTCGATGCCAGCCTTTGATAATCCGCACAATATCGTACACATGAGTAAGGCTGATGAGAAGCCGTTTATTAAGATGCCAAGACAAGTCTCATTAGGACAGATGGTAAATAGGTAGGCGGAATAGGTGCGCGTCTTATAGGGGTTTCGAAACGGCACCTAACATAGGGTGTCCTAAAAATGTATACACAGTGTCACGGAACGTCGTTACTTGCATCTAGCTAATATTTAAACTGTAAGTTAATCTGTAATAAAATGCATAATTTTTTCTTTTATCACATATGTTTGCAGCTGTTATGGCTAGATAGAAATCAAATTCATAAAGTTTTACCGAATTCGTGATAAAGCAGACATGCCGCACTGTATCGCAAACTTTTTTTTTTTGGTAAATTTACATGGTGTAATAACACGTAACACACAGAGTTGCGTTCGTCCAGTGGGGCAATAATAATAAACTCTGCCGAAAACTGTGTATCGTGCTTAGAGTTGTTTAGAAAACTGATTTCTTCCGTCCATCGTCCGTGTCATACTCTACTCATACATTAAAATGCGATAAACTTCTAATGTATCTCACTTACAAATTGTTGGGATATTTTGTTATATATTCTCAGTATTCTTTTTTAGCTCATGAAGCTCATTGGTATTCTTCCGCAGCCTTGTAACTCTGTAAACGTGTACCGTCCGTTTCAAAACGATCCTTTACCTGATTCATTATAAGGCACATAGGTGGATCTGTCTAAAGATTCCTGCAATGTTGCCTTTGTATTTTTTTTTTTGTACATTTTCATACTACAAATTATTTTTTTGAATGCATTTTTTCGCAGTTAATAACGCTTGGAAAAAGGGTCAACCAGAAAACTTTTAACCAACTAAGCGTTGTATACATTCCTTTAAGAGACCCTTCTCAATTCAACTTATAAGTGTACCAGGAAACTTCTAGTAGAATCATCACGGAACGAGTGTACACCCTCAGCTATATATAGAAGGAATATCTTCTGCCGTAGCTCAGCAGCTTAAAGCAAACTCTATTTATTTCGTGTTATTCAAAATCTGTAATGATTACGTACACTGGCGATGAAGTTCGTGGCTTAGTTTTCATGGCAACATTTGAACTGTCTTCACTTTCGCCTGCAGTCTTTTAACTACTAATTATCCGAGCCTTTAATTTTTTTTGATACTTCTCAATACTTTTTGGCATAATAATAATAATAACAACTATAAGAGACATATTTCTAGTTTTCTGCTTGAAATTATCAGTCGTAGACAATTGACTAGGTGGGTTAATTGTACGTAATCTATCCACTGCGCGCCGATGATACATCAGCAGTTTTTTTTTTCGGCTCTGAACCCGCCACGAAATAACCCTCTTTGACTTGTACTTTTATCAGGGCTGTCCGATGCAACTGGGCGTAATTGGCGTGGAAAACGTCGTATCTACCTATACGTCTACCCACCAAGCCATCGGGTGACTTGACCTATTTTGGTCTATTGGCAGGTTGTTCGCGAGGCATCGCCATTTTTAATGGCTACACATGTAGCGAAGATTCTATTGAAATATACGAGGCTGGCAACATCTTATTTGTAGCAAAGCCTTCATGCTAAATTGGAGCGTCTTGCCTAAACAAAATACGAATTTCGTCTCCAAAGCATACATAAAGTGGTTATTTTTTTGAAATTTGTTGTGTGACATTTTGTAACGTATTATATATTGAAGCAATGTACTACTAATCGTCGGGATACCACATCTCTGTACTGCTCTTTTTCGGCCGCCCATTGCGTTCTGTGTCACTTTGTCGCTGGAGAAGTACAAATTGTGTATCAAGTCAAAAACAACTGAGCAGAACCTTTTAGTGTGTTTCTGTAACAATCAAATAACAATGAGCTGCGGGCTGTATTCACGGAAGTTTGGTCAAATCGCCCCAAGAGCTCCCCCCTACGTTTATTTCTAATTGTGCATGCACCAGCAAAACGTTAACGATAGAACAATAAGCCTTGTAGGAGATCAGTTGAAACGTAGTTGCCAGGCCTTAGAATGTGGAACAGAAGAGAACGCATGTTATTGTTCGGACGGCAGAAAAATAGGTCCATATGATAGATAGTCCTCGGTACTGTGGATGCAATAGGAGTAATTTACGATTTTTTTTCCATTATAAAAGACTACCATGAAAAACAACCCCCCACGCAGAAGATTAAGATATTTTGTTCTGTTCTTAAGCTACTTATTACTGCTCTATCTGTAAATAGCAGGTCACATTGGCACTTATCCGCATTTTTAGATAGCTCACCTATCTGGCTTATAAACGATCCATCTTTTACTAGTTTTGGCTACTACGGATTCGCGCTCGAACCCTGCTGACAAACAGCAATGTTATCTCATTGCTATATGGGAGTGAATTCTGATAGGACTAATCAATGAAGAAATTCTAACACGCCGTGAAACCGTCAATAAAACTACGGCTAAACTTAGGTCGACAGATGGAAACTGGCAAACGCTCTAAATAAAAATGGTAGATCAACGTGATCCTGTTGCATGTCACTATTAGGCCCAATATAGTTTTGATGATCTCGCGAAACTTCGAACAAATTATAGATGTTAGATCAATCTCTTTTAAAGGCGAAAAGAATTTTAAATGAGCTAACCAAAAGGAACCGCTTTCTTATTGATTTAGTACGTCGGGTACGCCTACCCCCCAGTACGACTTCACAACTGGTTTCAATGTTGATCTTTTTCTATTTCTGCTTGCAGATGCTTAAAACTCGTAACTCTCTTTTTTTTTTTTTTTTACAAGATGTTGAAATTTTCCTTAAAAAAGGAAATAGTTACCTAGTGTTTAAAGCTCACTTATTTCCCTATTGATGCGATACCTAAGACAGCGGACTCTTATAGACAGAAGTCATAGGAAATAGAATTGAGCCGCTTCAAGCGAAATGTTCCTTGATAAATCTCAAGCATTATCGTTATAGCTTAATTTTTAGACGTTCACATTGGGAACGCACGTCAAAATGGGACCCGTATTGTTCACCGGGTTTGGGTGGAAAACCGTGAACTGCACGATGTTGCACGGGTGCATTCGATTACTGATAAACACATGCATACGATTTATGGGCATAATTAGGTTCGGCAAGATAATCCGTGTCATTTTGCTTTAGCTTATACAACTTCGAATCTATTATTTCATATTTTATTGCTGCCCTATTGCAGATGCCAACATATTCGATAATTTAGTTCGTGTCTATATTGTTTGGTCACCAACGGAAGTCGTTTACATAGTCGTTGATGGTCACGGAAACTAAAAACACGGTTCCTTTTGCGTCACGGATAATTCTCCACTGCAAACTCTAGAGATTGCGTTTCCTTGTTTGATAATGAAGAAGTTTTATCCTTCCCAATAATAGTAACAATAAGAATCTATATCTAGAATCTGGTCAGAGCGGCATGAGGAAAAAAACTGCTCGACATTGCATCCCAATACCAGCTAATAGTTGTCCAATAGAACGACCGATGCTTAGGACGATCGTCATATAGATCGAGGTAGAAGGATGGCAAGTATTAGCATAGGCTTGCTTCATTCATAAGAATGACACGGCAGCAGATGTCGAAGTTGGAGGCTATATTTCAGGTATAGCCGTTTCGTGAAGAGAGAGCTAAGGAGTTCGGGACACAGATGGAGCACAGAAGAGTCGATAACTGAGGTCACTTTAAAAGGCTGCTCTATTTAGAAATCTGCTTCTGGACTCTGTGTTCGGGAGAGCATGCTTCCCTGTAGAAAACCCAACGAACGTCAACCAACTTACCTTAATAGGAGCGGTTATGCTCACTTCTTCCTCCTCTTTGAGTTCTAAGGATATAAGGTTTTTTTTGTACGGCGACGAACCAAGATAGTCGGAAACAAACCAGACGAAATGGTAGCTCAGATCACCTAATAATTTTCATTGTCATGAAAGGTTGACAACATCCCGTCTTGGCTACGAGCATATCCTATACGAGTCTTTGGATGCGGATAGCTTGCGCGTAAAACGTCTGAACCTGACTAAGGTAGATAGTATTTGTTTTTACTTGGTAGTGAGTAATCCTGCAGTATTGTTTAATCCCTTATACCACACAAAGTCCCGCAAGTAGACTAGGTGAGTATATGCCACTGCTTATGCCTATTTAATCACGGGATTAAATGTTTTTAGATCGGGTCAGATGTGACTTGGCATTGATGACACAAACGGACACAATGTTCGTGCTAATCCATTTTTATCTAAAAATCAAACGCCACGTACGTTTTGGTCTTCACATAGGTAAGTCCTAAATGTTCTTGCGCTTATCACTACACAATTGTTCTTAACACATTTCGTTAGTGGACAAAATAATAAGAAGAAAATCTGCCATGTGTTACATTATTGTCTCTATTACGTTTAATGTTATTCAAAGCAAACCGTTACTTCACTGCTAAATCCTTATCAGACGTATTCCATGTGCTGTTCAGTCAGTACGTTACTAGAATATGCTCATCGCCGTTTTGGTGACGAAGCGCTGGAGCCAAATGCATATAGTGTTTCACTTTCGAGAAGATCGTGGCTGTTTCACGAAGCTAGCGGATCGTCATCTGAACAGCAATCGTCAGATAGCTAACCAGATAATAGGTAGAAACTATGCGCTTGAAGACCCCTTTAATTCATTGGATGTGTGTATGACTGCTTATGCTGGACTATCGCCGAAATGGTAAGGGTGATGTCACGTTGAAAGCGCGTGAAAACTGTGACGACGCTGCGCGCTGGCAAGCATTAGGAGCATTGAAACAATTGACATCCGGAACAGGAGCGGCACGCCCGCAAAGGCCCGATTGTAATAGCCAATTGGCATCCTGAATAATGCCTTGTTGGCGCGCAGGTATCACCGTAACCGTCACTGCTTTCAGATAGCACGTTGCCATCGAACGTGTACGTGCTGAGGGCACTGCAGCCACTGGTATCCCGCGCTAATTCGTCGTCTCGAACTAACTTAAAAGTGGAGTAAATCGACAGTGAGGGTAGACTGAGCCATCACACACGTATTATGATATTAGACTAGAGTGGTAAGTAGACGCTTCACTGCTTTTGTCCGCCTCCATCGGCATTTTACAACAATCGCACCGGATTCACTTACGTCATTTTGTTCAATGGTGCCGACCACAGATGGTCGCTAGATACTGCGTTATAAATGCGTTGATCATATGATTCGTAGTGGATTACAGCGGAAAAAACGAAGACGATAACGGGATAAATGCAGCTAACGGAATTGAGGTTTAGCCTTGTTCATTTCCTCTGGATCGTTGACTTTGGATCCTCTTGTAATAATCTAGGCTGCCATAGCGATCCTATTTAATAAACCCAAATGTCCAAACTAAGTCCTAGTAGAACCTCATCATTTTACTCGAACTCACCTATAATAATAATAACAACAACAGCATGAAACTTGGAGGAAGCTGGTGGTACTAAGCTCTAATCTCTTATCGTTTATGATAAAAACGTTTAAAATGGACTTTTTATATTTTTAAATAGTGTCACGGTTCTAATTATATAATTATTTTTCATCTTCGGTTAGAGTACACAATAGATTTAAAACTATTATTACGCGCCTGTGTTTTGTTTGAAGTATCAGGGTATGATATTCTATGGAAAAATTATGATTAGACACTCATGTTATTTGACAAGAAGTACAGGACAGAAAATTTCGGTGCAATTTATCTTAAATGTTGTTAACATCGTTACCATATAAGATCTCTATAATTCTGGGTTTACACCACCTTTTACTGGATTTAGCAGACGAAAACGCTACCAATGTTCCACAACCAATAGAGGTAAACCAAAGCAACTATATAATATACGAAGCGTCGAAAAAAATATATAAACCTAAAAATATTGTGTTGGACCCTTCGTGTAGTGGGCGCTTTTGAACGTCTTTTGTGCGCCTATTTCACTATGTCAGGTTATTACCAAATGCTTTCGAAGGGCTCCATTCCATTGCAATCCAAGTGTTAACATTTCGTCAAGCTGCCTTATATTTTTGCAATTAAGCTGAAAATGCTACTTCGAATTCGCTTATATACAGTATGTGGTAACCCAAAGATACCTACGATCAGAGTTAGCTGCATTTTTGCTATTAATCTATTTATGTAGAGCTAAATATGATTGAAGTATGATTTCGATAGTCTCTCGAGGTCTGTAATATGACTATTTCAAATATCTTTCAGCGCTTTCCCGCTTTATTCCTACGTGCATCGCATTTGGAAAGAATCCGAAAGACCGCCAAGCCAGATTCGCACTCAGACGCATCTGAGTAAGAATCAAATTTTAACTCAGATCTACCGAATACGGAAGTTAGTGCGCCTTCGAAATGTCTCTTCTAAAACCGGTGAGCTTTGGAGCCGTCGAATTCTGCCAACGGCGGGTGTCAAGTGACGATTGCTTGAGTACACGAAATAAGGTTATTTGATTAATTGAATCAGTCGTGTGACAACGAGGCCTTAAATGGAGCCTGTTAAGACGATCGAGCTCTGAAGTCTCAATCGACTATCACAATGATTTGAAAAAAGAAGGCCAGAAAAAATTCTACAGCATGATCTACTGCATGAATAACCACACTTGGGACCCTGAATTTGTACAGGTTACTATATCGCATAGCTCGAAAATATTTTTACCTAGGCCTATAGGTGAGCTAGCTAGTGTGTGTTCGTAACGTTGGGTTCGTAAAGGTTTATATGAACGTGTTTTGCAGGACACTTGCTATTATGGGAATAAACTAAGTGCGGTGAGATTTACTATTGTTTCCCTCTTCAAGTAATAGAACATTGCCGAAATAATACTTACGCAATAGAAATTCGTATGTGAGACACGCAATAGACGTTTTGCACTTGTTTGTTTCCGCGAGATTATTTGATCACTAGTAGTACGTTGCGTGCCACAAAATCACGTTCGCCCTTGTCGTTGCCTTAAGCAAAACGCGTCAATTTAACCAAGATTTTGTCATTCCGAACGCAACTGTGCAAGTCTTCTCGAAGATAAGCAAACTCAAATACTGCTAGCGGCGACTCTAACGGTAGACATCTTTGTGAATACGTCAAATTACTCTTCTACTTCGTACTTGGCAACGATATTCGGCCGTCAGCTTTCTCTCTCATATTCTGCTAGAGACCATTGCTATATTTATAGGGAAAGCGTATTCGAATTACAACTTGGTCTGAGTTCTTAGCAGTTCTCAATAGAATGTTTCTGAATTCGACGGGCACGTCTGAACCCTCTTCGGTGCCACGAAACGTCCCTCCTCTAAGATCAATATTGAAGCAAATCTTAGTCATAATTAATTTCTCGAAACAGCCGTTCTCGTACACCATCGTTCTTAATTAGACAAAGAATGACCTAACCCTAGGTAACGCTTTATCGCCGTAGGGGCATTCATACTCTTGCAGGGCGAATTGCCGCTTGAAAATGTTTGTCATATGGAGTACAATCACATCAAGATGAAGCATTGTACAAATCATAGAACGACGGAACAGCAACTTTTGTACTCAAAAAAAAATGTTACAAAAAAAAAAAAAGATGCTTACAACGGCTTTGTTCATGAGTACGGCATTAGGCTGTAGCTATTCACCCCTAGGATTTAACCTCAACTTTTCCCCCTATAACCCTGGCGATCTACGAGTATATTGATAGCATGCACTTAATCGGTCATCTATTACACTCAAGATCAACGGAATATACCTTGTGGATAATATCGGCACAAATATCGGAACACTTCTCACGTATTTTACGTTTACGTATAAATTCCATAATAGACGTACATTGCGATAGCATGTACGTCCATTATGGAAAAAAAACTGTCCAATCGATGGATACAGCATGAAATGCCGGATGGACGAGCTAGGCATCTGCTAGTCATTAGGTGGTAGAAGAAACACGTAACGCGCGAAAATGCGTGCCTGTGCAACATAGAAAGAAGTCATTACCTACATACAATATTCACTGCAAGCGTTGAGGTATCTATATATTGGCCTATGATGGCTGGCACTGATATAGTAGTAATTCGCTCGACTCGCTCTGCCTTACGACAATTTGTTTCAGCATTGCCTCTTCAGAATCATATTTTATAGCAATGATCAAGCAACCCAGATCCGTCAAGATACCATTAAATTCTGTCACCCAACAGATTCTAGATCTTGCTTTACTGTAGCATCAGAACGATTAAGGCTCTGCTTGAACATTCCGCGAGTCGCTCACCTTAGCGCCATAATCGAGATATTTTCGCTAACTTTTATATCTAGATAAAGAAAGAAATTCCGAGGCGTTTGCCAGTGTGCGATATGCTCGTAGCAGCGAACGATGGTGTGTCTGAAGGTGCAACTCTAGAGAAAAGAGGATGAAATCTCTCTGTGAACACGCAATATCCATTGTTTACAGGCAGCGAGCGCCCGTCGACCGAGTTCACTAGACGACCGTCGTGTACCATTGACTACAAAAAAAAAGGTGTGTTTACTTTGTTGACAAGACACTCTGGCCTAACTGCTACTGTTACTCGTTCAGGTGACAATGCACGTCTGAATAACAGTCAAGGACGATATATCTAGAATCGGCGACTCAGCTGAGTCAATTAGCTTGCGAGCAATATAATACATGTTAGAAACTATATTAAATGAAAGTGTGCATTCGGGGAAAACAATCACTCACAAGTTTTACGCACAAACATGCACGGGCAGCTCTCGTCAAACAGACGAGAATTGTTGTAGGAAAAGCTCGGCCGCATGTGGAACAACAGGGTGACCTACGTAAACGCGCGTTGTCCAATAGAATTACTATTGGCATCACTGATCTTTTGGGAGTACCTGATCTGATGCAACGCCGTCTACTATACGTATTTCGAAATTATGCATCTCGTTGTTTTCGAATCCTCTCGAGTGCACACAGCCACTATGCTTAATAGCATTGTCCGTAGACTATTTGCGCTTCATCAAAACCAGCTCTATTTAGATGCCGTTTATAAAAATTATACTAAACTCAAATAGTAATTTCAATGGGTGGCATTGTTGTTTGCGTTATTCATGCGTACGCCTACGTGTCGTGCTGTTATTTGGACCGATAATTGTGCAAACTTACAATGTTCGAATGATAAACACCTTTGCCATACCTATTTTCTTCACGTAATGATAAAAACAATTTATTCTGGAAATAACGAGTTCCTGCTTCGAGTGATACCGTGTGTGAGTCGAATCTGGGCGGAAAAGGTAATAATAATAATAGCTATTGGATTTGGTTAATCTTTATGTTTTTCAGTTACGGGTTTTTATTAATAACAAAACAGTATATCTAGTGACCACAAGTATTCGATCGCATTCTCTTTTGCTCACCACGAACAGGCGCTTGCATGAGTCTATCTCAATTGGCTAAAACCCAACGTTCGAAGCCTCCAGCTGAATGAGGCTGCGATAGGGTAGTCTCGATCCACAGGTATTAATCCTACGTCAATTGACCAAACTATCGATCCTAAGCTGAACAGGACTAGTGAGCGATAGATCTTCTACCAGCCAGTAGTAAGTCTATGATAACTGTATGACTATTGCCGACACAATAATGTAACTACTTTTTTGTTTTTGTTTCTGCTGTTTAGGTTGAAATGCTATTGTTGATAAATGGGTAGCAGAGAAATACTGCACGCCGATATTGTTTGTGTG